GCTCACCCCCTCCCCGTTGCCCCCACCTTGCTGAAGCGTGGGGAGCAGGAGGAGAACTGCCTGATCTCCACGGGTTCATCCTCCGTCGTGTCCTCGTCCTCGTAGGAGGTGACGTGGGGGTAACGATCCGAGCGTGCTGTAGGGGGGGGTGGGCGAAATAAGGGCAAGGGGAGGGGGATGTGGGGAGGGGGCATCGAGTGTCCCTAAGGGGGGGGGCTCAGGTGACCCCACCATAAAGAAGCCGTCATGAAGCTTCCATGGGGAAAGGGGAGCCATGGGGCGGTTCTAAGGGTTCCCAGCAGACACTGTCAAAGTAGCTCGTGTCCTCCTCAGACTCCAGGTGAGGCACGAACTCAGCTTTCTGCCGTAGCAGCCCGGTCCAATCCAGCGCCGCAAAGAAGCTGTGAGCCTTCACCTCCTGCGCTCCGCCTGCGCGTGGGGGACATGGGGGGGCCGTGGGGTGACGTGGGGTGACGTGGAGGTAAAGGGGGGGGACGCGGGGTTTGGGTCTCACCCGCCCCCAGGCGTCGCAGGGGGTCGGTCTGCAGCAGGCAGGAGATGAGGTGCTGAGCGTCGGGGGGCAGAGCCTCGTCCCCCTCCGGCCATAGGATCTCATCTGGAGGGCAGGTGGGGATATGGGGACGTGTGGGGCACAGGAGCCCAGCCGTGTCCCCATACAGGCGGCCAGCAGCCCTCTCTGCATCCCCACGCCTGTCCCTGAGCCGGCAGCGCCCCACATCCCAACCCCCAGCCCACGTCCCCATTGCTGTCCTCGTGTCCCCACGTCCTGGAGGTGACCTTCTCCATCCCTCCGTCCCCAAACGGGAGCTGATGTGCGCTGCGTGCTGGGATCCCCACACCCACAATGATGTCTGCCCCCCATGCCCCCAATGTCCCCATACCCACAGTAACGTCTGCCCCCCATGCCTCGAATGTCCCCATACCCACAGTGACATCTGCCCCCCATGCCCCCAATGTCCCCATACCCACACCAACGTCTCCTGCCCCTCTGTGCCCCCACTGTCCCCATACTCACACTGACCCACCCCATCCCTCTGTGCCCCCAATGTCCCCATACCACAGTGACATCTACCCCTCTGTGTCCCCAGTGTCCCCATACCCACAGTGACATCTGCCCCCCATGCCCCCGGTGTCCCCACACCCATTATGACATTCCCTATCCCCTACGCGCCCCCCACCCCGTCCCCACGTCCCCGTACCCGAGATGACCTGCCCGAAAAGCTCTTCGGGGGTGTCCCCAAAGAAGGGGACGCAGCCCACCAGGAACTCATAGAGGACGATTCCCATCGCCCACCAGTCCACGGGTTTCCCGTAGCCCTGACGCAGGATCACCTCCGGCGCGATGTATTCGGGGGTGCCGCACACCTGGGGGCGGGCCCAGCGTTAGCCACGCCCCCCGATCGCGCCCACAGACAGCAGCCATTGGCTACGCCCCTTGGCTACGCCCCTTGGCCACGCCCCCCCCCGTAACGCCCTCTGAGCACACCCATTAGCTGCCCACCCCCTTTCGCCACGCCCCCTGGTCACGCCCACAAACAGCACCCATTGGCTGCGCCCCCCGTCGATCATGCCCACAGACATCATTCATTGGCCACTCCCCTTGGCCACGCCTCTCCCGGTAACGCCCTCTGAGCACAGCCATTGCCTCCGCCCCTTGGCCACGCCTCCTAAGCACACCCATTGGCTACACCCCCGTAGCCACGCCCCCGGCCCCGCCTCCTGAGCACACCCATTGGCTACACCCCCTTTGGCCACGCCCACCTGCTTGTCGCGGAACTCCCTGGCGTCCTTCTCCATGTGCCCCTCGTACAGGTTGGTGGTGAGGCTCATCAGCCCCATCTTGGACAGCCCGAAGTCCGTCAGCTTCACGTGGCCCAGCGACGTGATCAGGAGGCTGCGGTTTGAGGGAGGGGGGGGGTGGATGGGGAGCAGCTGGG